AACCAAAGAAGTTACAAGATGTGCTGAAAGAGATGAAAATACAGAAGATGATAACAACATATGAGTAGATAAATTTGTTCATAGCTTGAGCCAGGATTCAAACCCAGGCTAACTACTCTCAGGAGTTATACCCTCATCTCTTAATCCTTAAGCTATACTGTCTCCTAAAATATAGCAATCAAGTAAATGACAATGAAGTTAGGACTCTTACTTTTTTTAAAAAGTATTTTTCTGTCAGCAATTAAAGTTTTAGGGAGGTAAATGTGTATTGGGCAGAATCTAGAAAGAAGGGAAAATTTTTTTTCTATGTTCAATACAGTAGGATCCTGAAAATATAACATCCTGTCATTTGTCTTTCATGGAATTAATGCCATGAAAACACACTGAAAGAATGTTTCAATACATTTCTATATTAGTTCAGAAGAATAATTCTTTTTTTAAAAGATGAGCTTTGTTTGTTTTATAAGCCTCTTTATTGAGGTATGATTGACATGTAAAAAGCTGGATGTATTTAGTGTATTCAACTAGATGACTTTGGGGATAAGTATACACTCGTGAAACCATCACCACTATGAAGGCCATAAACATATCCGTCACCACCCAAATTTTCCCCCTGACTGACACCCATTATTATTATAAATAGTGTGGTAAGAACACAGCATAAGATTTACCCTCTTAAAAATATTTCAATATACATTACAGTATTGTTAACTAGAGTTACTATCCTGTACAGTAGACTCTAGAACTTACTTATCTTGCATAACTGAAACTTTTTTTTTATTGTTAGTTTCAGGTGTACAGAACAATGCAATAGTTATCCTTTTCACCCTCACAAAGTAACAACCCCCCTCCCCCCATGTACTACCCACTCACCCCCGATATCATGCTTATCTATTACAATTCCATTGATTTCAATCCCCCTCTCTATTCCATGTCCCGAGATTAAATGTATATATAATTATAGTTGACATACAATCTTATTCAACATCGGTTTCAGAAATACAGTGCGGTGGTCAGGCCTCTTCACCGACTATGAAGTGGTCTCCCCAACAGGACATGAGTCCATCTGGCCCCCTAAGAAATATTTACAACATTACTGATTATATAACTGAAACTTTTTGCCCTTTTACCATCACCTCCCTACTTCCCTCTCCCACTAGACCCTGAAAACTACTATTCTACTCTCTACTTCTAAGAGTGTGACTATTTTACATTCCACATATAAATGAGGTAATACAATATTTGTTTTTCTGTGTCTGGCTTATTTCCTTTAGCGAAATGTCCTCCAAGTCCATCCATGTGTCATAAATGGCAAGATTTTTTTCTTTTTTTAAGGCTGAATAATATTCCATTGTATGTATATACCACATTTTCTTTGTCAATCATCTGCCGATGGACATTTAGTTGATTTCCATATCTTGGTTTTCGTGAATAATGCCACAGTGAACACAGAAGTGCAAATATCTGTTTCAGGTCCTGATTTCAATTCCTGTGAATAAATATTCAGAAGTGAGGTTGCTTGATCATGTGGTAGTTCTAATTTTAATTTTTTGAGGAAATTCCGTACTATTTTTCATAATGTACCAATTTGCATTCCCACCAACAGTGCACAGATTCCCTTTTCTCCAAATCCTCACCAACACTATATTTATACATGCATATATATATATATATATATGTATATACAGAAGGTGCCAAAAAAGTATATACATTTTAAGAAAGGAAAAAACTGTATTAATTGTAATATTCAATTTATACTGATAACATAAAATGAATACAAGTCATGTTTGACTTCTGCAGTTACAAGAGGTGCTCAAAGTGGTTACCATCAGCATCCAGACACTTCTGATTATGTGAACTACTGCTTGAGCATAGATAACACTTTTTAAAATGTGTATAAACTTTCTTGGCACCCCTGGTATATATGTATATATATATATGTATACACACACACGAGATGTGATAAAAAACTACAGTGAATGTTTAAATTAAAAAAAATTTATTACAGTAAAAGACATATTGTCATCAATCACCCTCAAAATACCCCCCCCCACTTAGAACACACTTATCCCATCGTTCTTACCATTTTCTGAAGCAGTTCTGAAAGTCCTTTTTTTGTGAGTGTTTTTAGTTGTGTTGTGGCTGCCTCTATGTCCTGAATTGATTTAAAAAGTTTTCCTTTCATGGTCATTTTGACTTTGGGGAAGAGCCAGGAGTCCCATGGTGCCAGATCCAGTGAATAAGGTGGATGAGGACACAGTAGTGTTTTTATTGGACAGAAATTTCCATATCAGAAGTGATGTGTGACTGAGAGACTTTCCATTGTGATCAAAACATATGGTGAATGCGACTGCCAAGTGCCATCCTATAGAAAGACAAGAACCTTCAATATAGGAAGCAGCGCATCCAACCTTAGTAACAGTGTGTGAGAAGTTTCAACTTGTTTGGTCAAGTCAGTCAATGTGTGAGCTATGGTTGAGAGAAGATGTGCTTTAAAGTGTGCAGTAAATCATCCTCCATCATGACAATGCTTTGTGTCACATATTGCTTCTGGTATATGGTATGGCACTATATATATTATATAGTGCCTTGGGGGAAGGGTGACATGGGTAAAATGAAAGTGTTCTTGTCCTCTTCAATGCTTCTATTCTTTCATTTTTGCTCCACTGGGGTGCTGGAACTTCTCAGCTATAGTACCAGGCTTCCAATAAAGGTATTTTCATTCTTGGGCCATTGTGAAAAATCAGTGTTTCTATGGGGGTATGAGGTGTGGATGCTCCTATTTTATCATCTTACTGATGTCCAGAAGAGATAATTCTTTATTTCAGTAGGTCAAACATCCAGTGCTATTTCACAAAACACTGAAGTTATTTTTAAAAACTTATCTTTTTATTCATTTGATGACATGGTTAATGAAAACTTTTAAAGGATGTGAATAGAAGGACAGTAGTTTTAGGAAGAATCAAGAGGCCTGTGTGTGGGTAGCAGATGTCAGAGCAGGCAATGGTTTGAGTTCAGATGAGCTTGAGGAATTTGACAAGTGTTAAATGTCAAGCAAGTAAAAACCCAAAGGCTGGGATAGTTTGAGGAATGACCCGGTAGAGCAGGAACTGGAATAACTTAATCCTGTAATAGAGGCTGTTTCCAGACATAAAATCATATCGAGAGCACCTGAAATTACTAGTTTCTTCTTGAAATTCATGTAAGTAAATAGATTTAAAATTTAATTAAGTTTTTGTATCATCACAATGCCGGAGATGTAACTGTTCCTATCATATCTTCTAGTTGCATTTGAGCATTCAAAGACCAATCTGTTGCCTTCAGTATCTCTTCATAATGATGATATCACTTTGGAGGGACATTTTCAAAAAGGTTTTAATTGGTTTATTATTGTTTTGAAACATGGGAGTAGAATGTTTACTGAATTAGTGGGCCAAAGATGGGGTAAAAATGGAAAGTGAAATAAGAAGTTAGATTTAAATGTAAATGAATCCTTGACTGATGGCAAAGCCCATGGTTGAGATTATTATCTCATCAAAAAGATTATGCATTGGATAATGAAAATGTTAAATTTCGCATTTGTAAAATTAATTCCATTTTTTCTTTTTTCTATCTAAAAGAGAGTTTATATTTTATGTTATGTAATATGTGAATATTAGTACTAATTTTTTTGTATTTGTTTTAAACTGATTTCTCTTTCTCTAATGATATTTTCTTCCTAGTTTGGCCCTAGATTTACAGCTGTTTAAATTTATCCTGACTACTTTTGATCTCCAAATATTTATCATAATGTAATATAGTGCAATGATCAATGTAAGATTACACACACACACACACACACACACACACACACACGAATATACATATACCTCTCTCTCTATAGTATATATAGAATTGAATTATAAGATTACACACTCTGAGATGAATGATTTTCAGTGTGCATGTTTGTACTTTTGTGCATAGATTTACACAAGAACATATATTTTTAAGAGTATTATATGATTTCATTTTAATGTTAAGGGTTATTCAGATAACTTTTATTTGATACTAACTCTCTAATTACCACATTATGCCTAAACCTTGGAAAGGCTTCCTCTCTTTATGTATTTTAATAAAGAACCCTTAGTACCTCAGACCCTCTATTTTTTTCTTCAGAGACTATAAATTATCTTGAACTTCTATTGTTTGAAGACATATCTAATGGAAACCTTAAAAATACCGTGTCAGTTACCAATAGGGGAAATATCTGGAAGTTATAATAGATCAACAGAAAGATCGAGTTTTACTTTTTCAATGAATAATTACAATCCAGAATTATTTTTGAGATGTTAATGTTAAAGTTAATTAGAGTATACAATTTACAGTGAAGCATGATGAAAATAATGTTGAATTAGGTATTATAAGACCTGGGTTCTTGTCTGAACTTTACCATTTATTTGCTCAGTGACCTTGGGCAAGATAGCCTGAGCCTCACTCATTATCAATTGAAATATGTGGTTTAACAATATCTTTGCTGTCCACCCCTTTATAGTGTCAGAATTTCATTATACATGTGAAAATATTATGTAACCAATGAAGTTCTATATAAAGGTGACAATTGTAAATAATAATGTGCCAGGCACTGTATTAAGCATTCATATAATTCTTACAATAGTTTTATGGCACAAGCAATGTTAATAGTCCAGCTTACAGGTCAGGAAGATGAGGCTCAGAGTGTGTAAGACACTTGAGTTAGCTCACACTGTTGGTGAGCGGGGAAGGCAAGATTTGAATACAGGTCCATCTGATACTAGAACTGATGCTCATAATTGTACAATTTTTGTCACTCACCTGAATAATAATCGCTACATAGAATTATGCATGAACTGGGTGGGGCAGTAAAAATGCAATTCTCTTATTATCAAGTGTGAATTCTAAATGTGAAAACAAAAATAATACTTATTTTTCTTAAAAATAGAGTGCTATGGAGTCCTAACCATCCAAATGTGTTTTTCCCTTAGAATTTAATTGTCTTGGATCCACTCACAGTGACTGAGGAGGAAATAAGACCATCCCTAGAGAAACGTCTTGAAGCCATTATCAGTGGGGCTGCTCTGTTAGCTGACTCTTCATGCACAAGGGACTTCCATCGGGAGCGGATTATTGCAGAATGCAACGCCATTCGCCAGGCTCTCCAGGACCTGCTGTCAGAGTACATGAACAATGTAAGTAACTGGTTTTATCCCATTCCATACATTGGGTACATGCTGAGTTTCTACCTGTGTACAAAATGTAATAGATTATAAATGACTACATGCTTTTACATGGGTTGGCTTTCTGAGTGGGTTCTGCTTAGGGTATGTGCTGAGTTTTTTCTGTGTACAAAATGTGATAAATTTTAAATGAGTACATGCTTTTACATGGATTGGCTTTCTGTGTGGGCTCTGATTAGGATACCACCCTGAGATTGGAGTTTCTAGGGATGGAATCCAACCAGAAAGTTCTTTACATATGAATGTTTTGTTAAGTATTAGCTAAAGAAGAAAAGCAGGATTGGAGAAAGGAAACTGGAGTTGCATATCAATTTAAAGGATAAAAAGAAGATAAAAGGGTAGATTGCTCAAGGTGAAGTTGTGAATATCAAAGTTTGAATTTTGATAGTATTGGATAAATTCAATGCTGCAGGGATCAGGGACCGTTTTTTTTGAAGAGCTCATGTAGTTTAGATAGCCCTTAAATGTGACATTTTGTCATAGATTTTTTGCAGTTTTAGCTATCTCTGAGGAATATTAGAAATGCTGTTTAAATTTAGACAAGCACAAAAATATTTGTTTCAAGGTCCTTTTTGTTTTGGCTGATCTATATTCATATATGATATATTCATTTCATGTATATCCACCTGGGGTATCTATCACTATTCTCACATTCAAATCTTAGTGGTATTTTTAAAATGAAGAAGAAAGTCTTGAAGACACTGTCAACTATATATTGATCATGAAGCCTTTTAAATAATAGAGCTCAACAAAATGAAAGGTTTATGATAGGAATGTCTTGTTCACCTGCCTTATTCTAGGTGAAATAATTAAAAGGTTGTGAAGGTTGTTTCCAAAATTCTTAGTTTCAAAGCATATCACTTTTTGGGTATGAAACTGAAGAATTTGAATTATTCAGTATAAGTAATTTCTGTGAATAATTGAATTGTGCTAAAATTAGTGAGTTTTTTTTTTTTTAAAGATTTTATTGGGGAATTGGGAGAGGGGAACAGTGTTGCGGAACAGACAACTTGCTGTTCTTTGGTTCTTCAGTCTAGTTGTGGAGGATGTCGCCTCACTGGACTATGTTGCTATTATCATTGTGCTCTTCCCACGTGAGGCAGATTGGTCGCCGGCCTCTGGACGGCCGCTGACAGCGGCTCTTGGCAGCTGGCCGCTCACGCTGGCTGCTGGCCATACACGGTAGCTTATGGCAGCCCACTGCAGCAGGAGCTGCAGCCTATGCCATCACTGGTGACTCACGGCATCCCAGCTCCAGGTTGAGCTGTTGTTCACCATCTTAGCTGTAGAGAGCAGTGTCACTTGCCCTCATATGGGATCCGAACTGGGGCCCTGCTGCACAGAGCTGGTATCCCAAGCCAGCTCTTAACCAACATGCCACTAGGCTGGCCCCAAAGTTAGTGAGTTTTAAAGACCCTTCCACACATTTGAGGTATCTCCATACTCTTAACATTTGATGACTGTGGCTCCTGACCAATAATCTCTTGCTTGCTAAGAAATCAAAGTTGTAAAGCAGGTTTTGTTAATAAGAACATATTAGTAATGTCAGATCTTGCTTCTGAAACTAGAATATGTTTGTTCTTTTCTATGTCTTATTGCTCTTTTTCTTAACGAGGATTTAATCTGATGTTTAGTTTCAAGGCCCATTTGTCAAGTAGACAAAACTTATGTTACAAAATACCCTTCTGTTAGATATTTTGGTTTTAAAACAAGCTAAGTTCTGTGTTAGAGGAGTGAAGTGGAATGAGATTTTTTCATTTATACTATCTAAATAATTGAGTTCACAAGTAAGTAGCTTTTTAGCTTGTCCAGATATTACCTTAATTTTAATATTTTAAGGGTAGATTTAATTGTAGGAATCCAAATATTTATGTGATTTCATTGATTAGATTGTACTACTATTTATGCTTGATAGAGACTGTTTTTTTCTTCTTCCTTCCCCCCATGGTTTCTCTTCTCCCCTTCTGGCAAAAAAGCACAAACACGCCCTGCAGTTCCTCTAGCTCACGCTCACGGTATTTCCCCCTTTAGAGCTCTCATCCCAGATGGAATTCCCTTGTTTACTTGTCTGCCTTCCCCACTAGACAGGAGCTCCAGGAGGGTGGGAACTGTGTCTCTGGCCTTACTTAGCACAGAACCTTTCAGGTAGCAGGTGCTCAGTAATTATTATTTGGTTACAGGTAAATTGAATTTAGTGCTTGCTTCTTCTCAGTTTTTTAAATTAAAATGACAATGTGCCTGAAGTAATTAATTTGTAGTCATTTATAATGTTTATATGATAACTGTGGAGAACAGATGTGGGAGGGATAATGGTGAGAACAGGAACGTAAGAAAGGAAGAGCACAAAAGGGAGGAAGCTTGTTCTTTGGGTGATCTAAGTATATTTATGTATTCCTTTCTCCTAGGGCATAATGTTAAGTACTTTTTGAGGAAGGGATTTTTCTTTTTTATTTAGGGAATAAAAGACATTGTGTGTGTGTGTGTGTGTGTGTGTGTGTGTGTGTGTGTGTGTGTTACATCTGGTGATCTGCTCTGATGTTGGTGTAGAGGTCAGAGCAACAGTAGCTAAATTTATGTGAGGGTGGTCCACATGATCAGAGGCTCATTTATGTATACATTCTATTAACATTTAATTGGTAAGTACAACCCATTAATAATAAAAGATATGAATTTGTAGTATTATGAAAATGTACTCCAAAAGAAGTGTAATAGTTCCTTTTCATATAAAAGTGAAGAATTTTAGGCCTAATATTAGTATGCGATTGAGCCAGTAGGTATTAGAATTAAACAGCAGGAACCAGCCTGGAGAAGTGTGGAGTAAATTATCAGAACACATTTCCAGGTTAATTTTTACTGTAGGTTTATATCGCAAATGATGCTTCTCTATAACTGTTTAATCAGCTTTTATGAAAGGGAATGTACTTCCCTGGAACTAGCTGAATCCAAATCTTTATCAGTTTACTCAAAGATTTTAGGACAGCTCCTGTACTCAGGTCCTCAACTTCCTAGTTTAAAGAATATTGTGTCTCCTAAGGTGGGCCTGGTTTGCTTTTCAGATTAGTTAGGAATTTTTGTAATTGAGCTATATTGAGTAAATGCTTCATGATAATTCAGATACAATAAAGAGAACCATGAAAATTCAAAGCAAGGGTAGTACTCATTGAAATCTATGGATCTCAAGGCTTCAAATTTTGCAAGTTTGTTTAGTCCAGAGAAGTGGGAAATTAATGCAGTTTGTGTTATTTTCAGGCTCAGTTCGCATTTCCAGTTTGCGTTTAAATAACTTTACTCTCTTAACAGATCAGCAAGTCTCAATAATTTTTTCACTGAAGCTCTATGTTTAGTAAGTCCAATATCTTACCACATTAGTAAGAAATTAGAGGGAAATGAGACCACATGGGTCTATAACAGATAAAAAAAGATAATTACTGGGGCCAGCCGAGTGGTGCGTTGGTTAAGAGTTGGCTTGGGATGCCAGCTCTGAGCAGCAGGGCCCGGGTTTGGATTCCACATGAGGGCCAGTGACACTGTGCCCTCTACAGCTAAGATGGTGAACAACAGCTCCACCTGGAGCTGGGCTGCTGTGAGTCACTGGCGATGGCGTAGGCTGTAGTGGGGCTGCTGTGAGCTACCATGAGTGGCTGGCAGCCAGCATGACTGCCGTGAGTTGCTGTGAATGGCCGTCCAATGGCCGGTGACCAACTGCCTCAACTGGGAAGAGCGCAATGATGGTGCCAGCTTGGGCCAGTGAAGCAACATCCTCCACAGCTGGACTGAAGAACAAAAGGACAGCAACTTGTCTGTTCCCCTTCCCTGATTCCCCAATTAAAAAAAAATATCACTTTACACTATCAATGATTATATATGTTCTCCTTAATATTTTACTTTTAAATTTATATGTGTAAATATATATATATATATATATATATATATATATATATATAATATTATAAGTGATATTATATATATATATATTTACTTAGTTTTCTATTGCTACTATAACAAATTACCACAAACTTAGTGGTTTAAGTAACAATTATTTTACAGCTTTGTAGGTGAAAAGTCTTACTGGATTAAAAATGAAAGTGTCAGCATGGCTTCATTCTTTTCTGGAATCTGTAGGGAAGAATTCATTTTTTTGCCTTTTCCAGCCAGCTTCTAAAGGCTACCTACGTTCCTTGGCTCATGGCCCTCTCCCTCCATCTTCAAAGCCAGCTGTGTTACATTTCTCTGACCCTGCTTCCATCCTGACGTCTTTTTCTCAGGTGCAGCCAGGAAAGGTTCTCTTTTTTTTTAGGACTCATGTGGTTATATAGGGCCCTCTGAGGTTATCCAAGGTAATCACCCCACTTCAAGGTTATTAATCTTAACTAAATCTGCAAAGCTCCTTTTGCCATATAAGGTTATATTCACAGGTCCTAGGAATTAGAATATGGACATCTCGAGGATGCACAGGACATATACTAGTCTCCTCTGTGGAATAAGCATCAATCCTTACGTTTCAAATTCATTTTAGTTAGTATCCCTTACTTTGAGCTCCATGCAGTCCGGTCACATATCTGTTTTATTTACTGTTTTATCTCAAGCCCCAGGCACAATGCCTGGCATTTAGAAAAAAGCTGAATTGTGTTTTTGAATAAATGAAAGAATAATGAAATTATTGCATTTTGTATATGCCATGTAATTGAGAAACAGCTTCTCTTACATTAAATGAAATGCATTTCAAATATCTACTAAATTTATGTGATGCACTGCCTGTTCTAAAATGTCTGATTTTGCAAAGTACAGGTCTCTTCTAAAAATCAATGTGAATATTCAGAAACAAAATTCTCTCACCACAGTCTCTGCATTTGAACCCACATCTGGCTGTATTCCAAAACAAGATTTTTACTTATTAAGAAATGTATTCCAGAGAACAATCACAATCCCAGAAAGTTTAACTTTTATCTTTT